TAAAATAACCTTTTTTTTTCTTAGAGTGAATCAATTAAAAGTTACCATCACACACCTGCAGGTAATCGTAAAAATGAAAAATATATATTTTTTTAAATCTCCACTATATAGAACATTTGCTCCATGGAAGTTATAGGTTATTTATGGAAACATTAATGGCAATAAAGAACATTAATTTTTAAGAGTGTATGATGACTTCCACTTCTTAGAAATGTGAAAAGGGTAAATACAAAGACCAGGCCTACCAATACGACAGCCATTACTTTATCACTTCAGAATGGCACAATTGCTGTTTGGTTTTTGTTTTCTCCTAGGGCCTATAGCCCTAATGACTACCTACTTAATGTGCCACATGCTGTTCTAAAAAGCCATCAGTGAATGCTTCCAAAATAAAACCACCAACAAAATATGAGTCAGATGAGAATGAGATCCTTAAAGAATAAGAATGAAAGAGAGCGTGCAAGTGAAAAACATGCGGATAGTAGAGTGGATGAGGACTGTGGTCTGAATGTAATGCCTCAGAGAGTCTGACATGACACTGGTTCAAATTCACACAATCTTTCTATATTACACTAAATACCTGACTGGACTAGCCATTAGCCTGCCTGGAGTGGTGGAGCAGTGGCTGTAAAGATATTCCTCTCCCAACACACTGACCACCAGCGGTCAGAGCCCTCTTTAAGACACCTTCAGGAGTGAAGACACTAGACCGGAAGTTCAGTAAACATGCTAACCCTGTAGTGATCATACATCACACCCCTAATGAAGACTCAGATCAAAGAGGGATTTTCAGCAGTTCTTGTCATTACTAGGACCTCTCCTGCTTGAAACAGAACAGTTCTCCAGACTTCAAAAGACCTCCAAGAGGTCTCAAGCGTGAAATATGCTTTCAACTGGCTCCACAGCAGGAGCCTCAAATGGACAAGGCATTTATATTTGACGTGCTCGCAGTTGTACTATTCTTTGAATCGACAGGGGGGCGACTCTGAATAATTGTCCTTTAGTCTAAACCATCAGGAATCAGCGGTGAGAAGTAGTAAGGTACACACGTAACAATGGCTGCATCCGAAATCACATACTTCCTACTATATAGTAGTATGCAATTTCATTGCAGCTTTAAATAAGAAAATAAGAAAAACTGTTAAAATATGTTGTATTGCAGAAATAAAAGGGTTTCTCAATGTTCTTTTCTCTTAAGATGTTAAGATTATTTAAACGAACGAACAAAGGATGTTTCTTTTAAGAATTGCACTCCCTTACGAAGTTCTTAAAATTTTCCTAAGAACTTTAATTTTTTTTCTTAAGATTTCTGTGAACCCAGTCCAGAATTGTGCCATCATAGTACTAAAGAATTCAACTACTTGTCACTTGTGTTGTTCATCTGTTTAACCAGATAATTATTTTTCTCCAATTAAAGGGATAGTTCACCCAAAAATGTAAATTCTGTCATCATTTACTCACCCTCATGTCTTTACAAATCTGTATGACTTTCTCTCTTTTGTGGAACATAGAAGATATTTTAAAGAATTTTAGTAACAAAACCGTTTTGGTTCCCGACCTAAACTGTTTGGTTACCAACATACTTCAAGATATCTTCTTTAGTGTTCAGAAATGCATACAACTTTGGAATGACATGAGGGTGAGTAAATGATGACAATTTTCATATTTGGATGAACTATCCTTTTTATTTGTCAGACTTTTTCCACCAAAGCACTATGCTTACTTCACTTAGTGCACATTTTCTGTGAATGTGTTTCTACCTGATCTTGGAAACACAGGACATACAGTAGGCCAACTTTGCTTGGTTTTTTACAAAGGGCATCAGGTCTACAAATTTCACTCATTGTTTGTGCCTGTTATACGTCACAGCTGAGAAATATCCTCTTTATCCTGAAGAAGCTTAAATAGCACTTTGATGTAATCACTCGCATTTTAGCAGGCTTATAAAGGGCATCATATTAAACTGACAGCAGAAGTCATCAACCTTAGGAAGTCATTGGTAATCACTGGCATGTAAACGATAAGAGCAACAAAGATTATTTAAAAATATATATATTCTAATATTTGTATGTACTTTATTTTAAAACATTTAAAAAACTTGCTTGATTGTGCATACTTGCAGTATATTCCATTATTTTCCACAGTCCATCTGAGGTCACAGCACAGGAGCTCAGAGCAAAACATGCAGTCTGAAACATTTCTGTGCCTGCAGTCCCACAGGGCCATTAACTGGTGTGTGATAGTATTACGACATCCAAGACAGAAGAACAGTATTCCACAGTGATAATTTGAATGAAGACTAGGAGAGGGAGTGTGTGGGTTACACAGAGAGAGAGAGAGAAGACAAGAAGCTCCTTTGGTGCTACTTCAGAAGAATGATGACATCTTCAAATCATCTAATGCATTTAAGGTGATGTAAGTACGCACTTACACACTTCTGGCACAAGTGAAACATACCAGAACGGACTCGACTGAAAGCTTGTGGTGGAGCAGGATGGAGAAATCAATCATTTAAACAGATTTAGAGATGTACACAAAGGTCTTTATATCAATTCACATAGTAACTCACAACTGCGGTCGAGATGCCATTGCTCTTAGTTTGTGTAGCAGCGGAACTTTAAAAATATTAATTTAGCCAAATAAATACGCCACAGATGTAATAAATCTTCCATATGGTCTATATTCATTGCTGCTCTTGTGGAAACTGAAATAAATATCCTAAATTTGTCACCAGAGAAAAAATTGCAACTCTTTTACATATTCAGGTAGGAGCAAAAAGGGATGCCTGCTTGACAACAAAATTTAAATAAAGCCTTCAGAGCTCTGTATGTGTACATTTAAAAAGACAAGGCAGCAGCCCTCACATCCATGTTTTGAAAAACCCAATTGAGTCAGACAGCTTTGCAAAAGGGCCCATAAATAAATTACATGCTCAAAAGGACACACTACTGTAAAGTTAACTTATTGTAAAGTTAAAACATACTCCAGCCAAAATATAAGCAGAATATGAAGCTATTACAGCATAGACAGTGGTTTCCCTTCATTCAAAATATTTTGGCGGCCATCAAAGATTTATTTGATCATTTAATGTGACGATATCTGCAGTAGCGGTACTCTGTGATAGTCGGCTGCTATAAAACTCTCCTGTGAGTGTTTGTGTAAAGCGTCAAAGGTTTCTATTTACAACATGTTTTTGCAGCATTGAGCTTTGTAGCCAATCACACACATCTGTTGAGCGAGTGAACGCAACGGGCAATCAGAATTTTCAGTGCGAGTTCTGCAAGCTAACGAAACCTTTCATTATAACCATCAAAGTATAAATGCTATATCAATGAGAGATTGCACAGCGTAGACAGCTTCATTGATTATAATGGGAGTTTTCGCAAGAGTGCAGCTTTGTGTACCTTGTGTTGTAATTGACTTCAGTGATTATAAATGGCAGCAATCTTTACCCGCTTTCTGTATAAAGCTAATTTATATTTTCATGCTGCTAACTACACATTACAAAGTTTCTGAATTGACAAGCGTAATAAAAAAGCACGACTGAATCTGACTAATAGAGATAACCATACCAATGGACGGAAAAAAACAATCTGATACTGTATGTCAAATGATCTGTGCATTAGGTCTTGGAGTATAAATACCACAGAAGATCATTTTTAACCAGGAAAAACCCTATATACTCTATGAATTATTCCTTCAACCTTCGTTATATATGTCCAGCCAGTTCTGTTCGACAAGTCAATATGACTCAGCACATTTACACCAAATTACAGTCACAGGTTTCAAAATGAACTTAGACTGCATTTAAAGTACGGTAAGTAATTTTGAATCTATACATTTCACCTTTCACAGAAATCACACACACAAAGCTACCAGAAATCGAAACCATTTTTTAAAAGTCATCAATGACATTATCAGGGCTCAACACTAAGGATTTCTTTCTGAGGGCCAGTGGTTAAAAGTTTTACTTGCCCATTTGGTCCCACCATAAAAAAAGTAATAAATAAATTTTTTTTTAAATTGTTTGTTTTCATTGCATTTGACCCATGCAAACTAAATAAATAACGCTATGACAACAAATTTCAGAGAGCAGCGAAACTTCACAATTCTCGATTCCATTTTTGATACCACAGCAAAAACTACTAGCCTACCTAATATAAATTTCAAATATCATAAAAGACAAGTAAACAGTCAGTGTTAAAATATAACCAAATAATCAACTTATGACCAACAGCACAAATAAATATAATAGAATAAACATACAAATGAAATAAAGTGCTTTTCAGGGTTTTCAAATGTAAAATAACACAGTTATTAACAACAGTCTTCACTGTATAAATTAAATATAGATTAATCCTTATTAAAGTTACAAAAGTTATTCAGTCGAAAGCAGTTAGAGATCTTTTTCTTTGTCCTTTGTTGTTTGACAGCAGCATTTATATTAGACTGCTGTCACTTTAAGACCTAATGCCCGGATTGAATATAGTGTTAAACGTGCATTTTATTTCTCAACTGTTTACGTTCACTTTAGACATAACCGACTGTGTTTACGAAGATACTCTCCAAGACGGGTATTTTGAAATATTTTTTTATAAATTTGTCCGTTCAAATGCCAAAAGACTCAGACTCAGTCTGAGAAGAGGCTTTCTGGGCATGCACTAAACTTCTCACCCAGCGCCCGAGTACTGAATTGAGTTCTCTTTTGCGTCTTCTTGAGCATAATATTATTATATTTAAATTTATATTTAAACTGGCAAGGCTTGAAAACACATGCAAATTATAAACTTTCGTGCCGATAACGTCCTGACATGTCCATCAACTGTCCCGAGCGTCGTTCACACTAGCCCCATGCCATCGTGCAGTCCTTTTTGTCGAGCCCTGATTATTGAACCAGTTTACTGAAATTTGAAGTGGTAAGTGATGGTTTACATTACATGACACTGAGGTTACAGCAGGAAAGGGCAAGTGTTGCTTGCTAATGAAGCTTTAGTACTCACCTCGATGAGTTTACGCTCATAGGTGGCAGCCAGTTCCTCTGTATCAGCCACGGACCGGTTTTGGGGGGCTGGAGGGGGACCATCACAATTCCTTTGAATGGTCAATGCTAGGAACAAAATGTAAGACACATTAGGAGGTGCAATCAAATGAAAAAAATATAAGTAAATAAATGGTAGTCTTCCAGCACAACCAATGGCATGAGTTTGGCAAGGGACTAACTGTTAGATATACAATGGAAGACGAGTGTTAGAAGTTGCAGTATAAGATGAGTGGAAACAATTATTTTTGCAACCAGCAATTTGGTGCCACTAGAGGTGGAAAAATGTCTCACTTCAGCTTTACGGCAAGATATAAAGAATCAGTTATTTCCTTTATATGATTATGTCTTGTAAAAGTTTGTGAAAAACAATCAAATCTGAGATCCTGGTTGTTCACACCAACAAACTTGGGCTTCTTCCAGTGCCGCGGAGCTGTAGCCTTTAAATCCAGTGTAATCTAGTTTCAGGGGAGCTGCCTGTGAAGGCTGAGATCCGTTGAGTTCATAAGCAGCAAAACAGAATCTTTCACCAATTGAAAACTCAATTAAAATCTGCAATTTTCACAACACAAATGTTGCTAGAGGCGCCACAGGACAGCAGAGACGAGGAAAGCAATAAGAAAAACGCAACCCCGGACCTGGCCGAGTTTCAACAGAACAGCTGTTAGACTCTCTCATTTCTTAATTCTCAAAGGAGAAAGAAAATCCGGATATTTCCAGACCATAAACAAAATTAGATGCAAAAAGTTTTCTTTTGTGAAAAGCAAAAAGATGTTTGACCAATAGAGGATGTAAAAAAATCACAAATTGACTGTCGCCGATGTTCTTAGTCGGGTCAGAAGCAATTTTCCATGCTGAAAGCCTAGTGTGAACACATCCTAACACCAACCGCCTGATAAAGGGTGGCTTGATCATCAGAATCGTGGAGATCCGCACACAAAGGCTCCAGAGGGTATGGATCTGCTGGGGTTAAAATGATAGAGATGAGGAGGTGGTGCTCAGCTAAAAAGTTTGTCATAAAGCTGTGAATAAGTCTATGGAGTACAAGTCAACAATCCTGAATATTATCAGCTCACCCGCACACAGACACCAGCCACTTCAGCTCTGAGTCTTATCAGTGCTCTGCCAATAGTCTACGCATCCCACTAACTCACACACCACTACTGTCAGCAAGAGTGGACTGCACTGAAACTGCTGCCAATGTGCAGCTCCACTTGTTTTCAGTCCACCACAGTCATGTCTGGAACTATTAATAATAAATGCATTTATGTATAATTGTTGTGTGTGAAGTTTATTACACCGTGGGAAACGGGGCATCTACGTACAAGAGTTAATGCTGTGCAAGATCATTAAAAAAAAAAAGTTTTTAGGCATGTCACGGCAGATTTTACATTATATATGGGATTACAAGGCAGCAAGCAATCTACTGTCAATCACAGTTGACATTAGATACTTGTTGATGAGACTATTTAATGTGTAAGAATTCATTTAAGTTTAGAAAAATAAACATAAAACTATAAAATTTCTAAAAAGTAATAACTGCTTATGCGATCTCTGTATGTAAGAGTATTCGGTAACACGTTACAATAAGGTTCATTAGTTACCATTAGTCAACTACCTTAGTTAACATGAACTAAGAATGAACTATACTTCTTCAGCATTTATTAATCTTAGTTAATATTAATTTCAACATTTTCTAATACGTTATTACAATCAAAGGTTGTATTTGTTAACATTAGTTAATGCACTGTGAACTAACATGAACAAACAAAGAACAGCAGTATTTTTATTAACTAACATTGACAAATATTAATAAATACTGTAACAAATGTTTTGCTCATTGTTAGTTCATGTTAGTTAATACATTAGCTGACATTAGTTAATGAACCTTATTGTAAAGTGTTACCGAGTATTCTATGTGAAAGCAAAACTCCTATTTAATTGTTATGCCAAACAGGAGGATATCTATAGCGGTGGTGGACCTCATTTATGTTGCCTTCCTATTGATTGCGGCATGTTAGGAATTTTGTTTTGTTTTGGGGCATTAGATAAGTTGTAATAACTGTAAAGATAAAACAACAACAAAAGCTCTCCAAATTGAAGAATAGATTGTTTCGGTCTAGGCTGCCCTGAGAGCCTCATACGGAGATGTAGGTTATCATGATTTTTTTAATATTTTCTTTACGAAGTTCAGAAGGTATCAGGTCTTTTTATAATCCCCAATTCTGTCCAAAAGTTCTCAGAGAACTTGTATCTCAAGAAGAGAAAAAAATAAGTCTGAGCATCTTAGCTACTTGTGAGCGATTGAAAGTGGCTTTGACAGACATATGCAAAATTAGTCTGTTTACGTGCTGAAGGGGAAAAAAAGAAGAGTTAATGAGAGTGTTGATCAAAGTAATCTCCATCCATTTTCCCATCATGCAGCAGTCGCTTCCTGTGAGACAGCTTGAGATAACAACAGCGTATCATTCCATCAGCGAGCGATCTCTACTAAGTACAGGACGCAGTCAATTTGACGCCCAGACGTGAAATTGCATACCAAACACTCGTTGCACCTTGGAGAGGGCAAACACAGAGGTTTTATAGAGCAAGTTTGCTTACAATCTTCTGAACCGACATTCCACAATCAACAATAGTTGACTCAAAAGACAGAACAAGCACAGACTGAGATGTTCTGCTTCTCTATTTGATGTATTTGATGTGATCTCTATTTCAGTTAAGGTACTCCAATGGGTTAATATTTTTGTGCGGTTTTGAGGCCGTCATGGCTGTTGTTAACATTTTTTTCTAATAAAATAAAATTCTTGAGGTAATTTCTAAATCTAAATATAAAGTAAACTGCTGTATCACTGGCTGCTTTTTTCCCAGCATCAAAGAAAAGTTATCTGCTGTGTAATCATGTCCTTTAAGAGCAGACATCTGAAATGTATAATATATATCAATTAATGCATAAACAATAATAATAATACCAATGTCACACATCCTACAGAATGTGATAAGGCAAAAACTACTTGGAAAAATGTTAGAGACGGTTTTCTAATCTATCTATCTTTTTATGTTTTTGAAAAAAAAAATCTCTTTTTGATAAAAAATCTCTTTTTGAAAAAACCCTGCTCAGGGCTGTATTTATTTGATAAAATATAGTTAAAACAGTAATATTGTGAATTTTTATTACAATTTAAAATAAATGTTTCCTGTTTTAATATACTTTTAAATGTAATTTATTCCTGTGATGGCAAAGCTGAATTTTCAGCAGTCATTACTTCAGTCTTCAGTGTCACGTGATCCTTCAGAAATCATTTTAATATGCTGATTTGGTGCTCGGGAATGATTTCTTATTATTACTATGTTGGTTTATGGAAACCACGACACAGTACTTTTTTTTCAGGAATCTTTGATAAATAGAAAGTTCAAAAGAACAGCATTTATTTTAAACAAAACTTTTGTAACATTATAAATGTCTTTACTGTCACTTTTGATCAATTTAATGCTTCCTTGCTGAATAATAGTATGAAGTCCTTAAAAAAAAAAATCTCATTGACCCTATACATTTATACACTTTTGTGCGTGTATGTATTCATGGATATAAATAATTTATATCCAACATCAACAATTTTATATGTAAATTTTAATTGAAGAAACTGAAAGAGATTACTGAGCAATATGGTAATTTTATGCCCTACAATGAATCATAAGGAGATGGAAAGCGGCCAGTGTTTGATCAAGGAATCCCCTTTTTTAGCACTACGGTTAAAATAATCAGGCCTGATTTAGCTTATTATCTGCCAATGGCTTCCTTGTAAGAATCCTCATGCTTTTCTGGATTGGTAATAGAAAATAGAAAATATGCAATGAACAAACAAAAACAAATGCATTTTTGGTTAAAAAAAATGTATTTACAAATTGAGCTTAAAAAAGCTTGATCATTTGCATAAACATGACCATTTATAAATCTCTGAATAATGTGTAATGGAGTACATCAAACAGAACAAATTTCAGTTTTGCTATTGAAGCATATACAGCCCAAGTAAAAATCTTCTAAACATTAGGAAGAAGACTTGATAATATCACCCTCGATTTCCGACTTCACTTTAGATACACTTGTACTGTTCTTTTAGTATAAATTTAAAAGCGATTACTTGTCTGTGTGTTAGAAATAAAAGTCCTCATTATTCACATTAAGATCAAAGCTATTATCTTAAGAAACTTGACCTGATAATGTCGTCTGCACTGAAAACATGGAACCAGCCTTGTTGTGGCTCATTAATCTTGAAATTCTGAAAACATCATAAGCTAGAGGCCATAATGAGGATTCAAATCATCCTCCCCTACACTTTAATAGCCCTAATATAAGCCATGAATGACATATTCATTGATGGCCAGAGTCGGCACAAACACTGTCTAGCCTTTAAAGAAGTCTCGAGCTAGACAGTGTGTCCCTAAACCGGTCCTTTTGGGTTATTTAGCTCATCCTGTCTTGCTTAAGTGAGAGGGGTGGTGGGGGTGCTTGTTTTTATTAGCGGAACGCTACTTTATCGGACACTCGACAATCTAGTTCCAGTCAGTATAATTGACTGCCATTTCTAAAAGTCAATCTAATTGCTTTTCATTATTATGGTAATAGTCCTGACAGCGGTAAAGGGAAATCCCCCTCCCCATGAGAGGGACCAGAGCCTACAGACGATTAATTTGCCTCTTCGCCGTAATTAAATGCACCGCGGCTGATAAACTTGCAGATGACTAATGACAAATGTTAAAGTAGGTCAAATCAATTATTTCAACAACCAGCCACTAAAAAACAATGGGGAAAAAGCATCATTCGCGCAGTCTCACGAGGCAACATTAGGCAAGTTCTTCAATGTGGTGGGGAAGTCACTGGCATCGTGCCTGGACAGTTTTTTTTAGTTTAAGTCTGTCAGTCCCAAGGACTGATGACAAGAAGAGAAAGTGAGACGATGCTTTCAGTCATTCGGGAGTCATTCTTGTTTGGTTGTAATACAGCAAAGGTTCCCAAATATTTTATCACTTTACCCCTAGATCAGATGTAAAATATTTACTTGGAGCACCCC